TCTCAAAATGTTGGCAAAGGCGCGGATTTGAAGAGGCAAAGATGATGTCATCAACATAGATCTGAATCAGAATGATGTCAGACTTTTGTCGCTTGATAAACAGAGTAGTATCAATCTTTCCTTTTAAGAAACCTGAATCGATCAAAAATTCGGTCAAGGCATCGTACCAAGCTCTGGGTGCCTGTTTCAACCCATAGAGAGCTTTCTTGAGCTTGTATACATGGTCTGGGAATTTTGGATCTACAAATCCTTCTGGTTGAGCGACATAGACTTCTTCTTCTAAAGTCCCATTTAGAAAAGCTGTTTTCACGTCCATCTGAAAGACGGTGAAGTTTTTGTGCGCCGCGTATGCAAGAAAGAGGCGGATTGCTTCAATTCTAGCTACGGGCGCAAACGTTTCATCGTAGTCTATGCCTTCCTGTTGATTATATCCCTTTGCGACCAGCCTTGCCTTGTTTCTTACAACTGTTCCTTCTTCATCTCTTTTATTTTTGAATACCCACTTCGTGCCAATGATTGTCTTTCTCTGAGGCCTGGGTACCAGTGACCATACATCCAGTCTGTCAAACTGATTGAGTTCATCTTGCATAGCAATCACCCAATCTGGATCAAGTAGCGCATCGGAGACTTTTGATGGTTCTGACTGGCTTAGGAAGCATGCGAAGTGGCATTCATTCATCGTTGCGGATCTTGTGCGCACACCTTGACTCGGATCACCTATTATCTGTTCCATGGGATGTGCTCTCGCCCACTTCCTCTCATGAGCTAGAGGAGTTGGAGTAATTAATGGTTGATCGGAGTCCTGATAGGAGGTTGAAGGCTCTGGAGCAGCTGTGGTGTGTAATGGAGATGATTCTGAACTCGTAGCAAAGCCGTGATCATCCACACCTCTGGGATTGGTTTGAGGGGTTGATGGTGTGGATGGTTCATCGTTTGGTCCTGTGAGGAGCGGAATCTCTGCTGTTGGAGTTGATGTTGAAGCTGGAGTGCATTCAGGAGGTGGAGGTTGTGAGTTCTCGTAGAAGTTTCTGAAGAGAGAGTCGAGAATCACATCTTCGTGTTCGGTGTTTGGTTCAGCTTTATCAGAAGCTACTGGTACATCATTTGATGGATCAGTCTGTAGATGTTCGATCGCAAAGTGTGTCATTTCATAGAATGTAACATTTACACTCTCGATGACAGTGCGCTTGTCTCTGAGGTAGACTCTGTAAGCTTTGGATTGCAGTGAGTAGCCAATAAACAAGCCTTCTCTGGCTTTGGGATCCAGCTTACTTCTCTCTGTCCGATCATTTAGTATGAAGCACTTGCAGCCAAAAACCTTGAAGAAAGAGATATCGGGAGTTCTGTTGAAGAGGATTTCATATGGAGTCTTGTCGAAGCGTTTATGGATGGATATTCTGTTCTGAGTGAAACACGCAGTATTGATTGCCTCTGCCCACATGAAGTGAGGCAGTCTGGATTGGATTAACATGGTGCGTGCTGCTTCAACAAGGGTTCTGTTCTTTCTCTCAACAACTCCGTTCTGTTGGGGAGTTTTAGCTGCTGCAAATTGTTGAGTGATACCGAGTGATTCATAGAACTCAGTGAGAGTTTGATTTTTGAACTCGGTACCATTGTCAGTTCTCACAATTCGTACACTGTGCTGTAGCAGTTTCTGGATGGTCCTAATAAAGGTCATAATGTTTTCCGCAGCCTCATCCTTTTAACGGAGAAATTTTGTCCATGTGTACCTAGAGAAGTCATCAACGATCACCAGAGTGTATTTGCGACCGTTGATGCTTTGTACTCTCATAGGTCCACACAGATCCATGTGAATTAGCTGCAACTGATGTGTAGATGATGGTTCGGTTTTTGACTTGTGGGAGCTTCGCGTCATTTTGCCCATTTTGCAGGCACTACAATGATTTTCAGCGAAAGACTTTAGCAGAGGGAGTCCCTTGACAAGTTTCTTGGAGGACAAGGTTGATAGATGTTTGAAGTTCAGATGGGAGAGACGTCTGTGCCATAGGTTGTTCTGTTCACTTGAAGCTTTGGACAGCAGACAGATGGAAGTGGTGGATTGGACGCTTTTCAGATCAATAGTGTACAGATTTGATGTTCTGTGACACATTAATAATGTATTCCCTGTGCTGTCAAGAACACATCATTGTTTTGCAAAGAACCTCACTTCCATCCCGCTGTCACAGAATTGCCCTATGCTCAGTAAGTTATGTTTGAGCCCTTTGACAAATGAAACGTCTTTTATAGTGACACTGGCACAGACGACGTCCCCATACCCAAGAATAGGAGATGATGCGTCATTCCCGAATCTGACATTGCCTCCGTAGCAGTTGGTGTAGTTGCTCAAAAGGTGCTTTATTCCGGTCATGTGGGTTGAGCATCCTGAGTCTAAGTGCCACACATGACCGTCCTGCAAAACAATCAAACAGGTTTAGGTACCCAACTTGGAGTGGGTCCTTCCTTATTATCAAGAAACACCTTTCTAAATCTTTCTTTGAGCTGTGATCCAAGGTCAACAGCTCTTTCAACAAAAGATCTTTCTCTTGTGGGCTCTCCAATAGCCAGATCTGCTTTTGCAGTGGGTCTGGTTTTTGGAGCCCACTTAGCAGTTTCCATTTTGGTGGGTCTGATGTTGTGAACCCACCTTTCCATTTTAGTTCTGGTGGGTCCGAATTTGGGGACCCACCTTTCTGTTTCAGTTTTGATGGGTCTTCGATTGGGGACCCACCTATCCGTTTCAGGTTTGGTAGGTCTCATCTTGGGGACCCACCTTTTCGTTTCAGTTTTGGTGGGTCTTATCTTGGGGACCCACCTTTCCGTTTTAGCTTTGGGAGGAGAGTAGACATGAGCTTTGTGATTGAATGGTTGTTTTTTAAGTTTTGTTTTGAAAATTTCCTCTTTAGAAAGCCGATTAAGATGTTTCCTTGAGTGAACTCGAAGAGCATATTTCATATCAGAATAACCATAAGCAATACTTGTATTATGAATAGAACGATGTCTAGAAGATGTCTCAGAAATATTCAGCTTGGGACTCAAGACTGAACTACTAGAAGTTTGTTTTGTAGAGACAAAATTACATTTAACTTTAGAGTAAAAAATAGAACTAGATCTAGGACTGACATTATTCTCAAAAACTTTCTTTTTGCCTTCTGCGATTTCCTTCCTCTTTTTCCTCCACTCATTCTTCTCTTCTCCTTCCTTCTTCACTTCATTTCCTGTAAACAAAGGAGAAGAGAGATGAGTGGACGAACCTTTTAAAGCATTGTTTTTCTCATGTGAGGTGTGTGAGCTGTCAGGCTTAGTCGTAGAAGGGCCTGTTTTAGCATGATACTGCTCACTCAAATCATTGAACTTTTGAAGAAGTTCCTGCCAGTTGCGCTGAAAACCTTTCTTTTCAGTTTCAAATCTCTCTCTCTCATTATCAAGAGTTTTCTGTAGATTTTTGAGCTTTTGAGCCATGGGAAATATACAAGGTTCCTCTCCAGTTTTAGCAATACCTACTCTTGGGGGAGGGTCTAGAGGATGTCCTATATGAGGAATATCTTTAGCATAAGGGTCAAGGCATTCACTAAAGCAGGAAGTAGATTTTTCTTGTGAAAGTTGTTTTTCGTTAACAGAGGGATAATCACAAGAAATCGCAGATTTTGGATTCTTTCTCTTTTCTTCTTCTGCTTCAGCATTTTCTTCATCACTTCGAAAATACATTTTCTCGCCAAACCCTAGTCCCATGTAATCTTTGTTATAGATTTGAAGACAGTTAACTTTCTTTAGATTACGTGGGTTGGTTATGCCCAGTCCTATTCTAGGATTGTAAAATCGGTCATCCTTTATCTTATTGAGAAAAATTGTCTGTTCAGACTGACCTCTTCTAGCAGCTAGATCCTCTAGTTCTTTTATTTTATTTAAAAGTGTTCTTCTCTTGTTATGCAAAAAATCGCATTCAGCCTTTGCTGTGCTTTTTTCTCGTTCACTATCCTCAAATTTCCTAGTTAATTCAGCTATCTTAAGTTCAAAGCTTTCAAAATCTGAGGACACCTTTTTGACCTTATCTTTCGCAATTTCAAGTTGAACACTGAGAGAAGACTTTTGATCTAGATTCTGTTTCAGCACCCTGTGATTATTGTCTAGTCTCTCCTTTAGTTCTTTGATTAGATTGTCCTTCTCAAGTAAGGACTGCATTTGGTTATTTAAAGGAGTATGAGAGGTACTTACAAAACTTGTTGAGCATTCGGTTTAGGGGATCGCAACATCACCCTTTCTTTCATCTTCCTCCACTCGTGCCATCAGGGCATAGTTGTCTTCCTCCTCCTCCTCCTCAGAAGAATCTTCTGCCCACTTCTCATTTTCAGCAATCATTGCAGAAGTTTCTTCTTCTTTCTGCACCATCAGCATTTTCTGCTTATTCCACATCATCTTCTGCTTGTAGAAATTAGCATCTTTCTTCTTTGGGAGGTGGCAGTCTTTGATGACATGTCCAGGCTTACCACAATTGTAGCATTTGGGAGCGTCTTCTGCTGATGGTGCCTTCCTAGAAGATCCTTGATCATGGTTCTTCTGTTTGTAGTTTGAGGAGGAGGTTCTCAGCTTGTTGGAGGAGCTGTTCTTCTTAGCAAATCTCTTGGCAAGCAGTGCCATCTTCTTCTGTAAGTCTGCTAGCTCAGCCTCTAGATCAGATTTGTCATCATCACTTTCATCATCATCACTTTCAATTTGTTTGTTGAAGTTATACACTATTTATCAGGAGTAAGTAGGTAATCAGCTTTTCATTTAAAATAAAAAGTGAGTGTTCAATAAAAAAAGTGTGGCAGAACATAGTTTCAAATTTTACATAGTTGCAGATTTTACATAAGGTTATTATACACTTCTAGTACAGATTGTATATCCTACCATTACTAGTAAATGCAGATTTTTTATAAGGTTAATTATATCGGTTGCAGGTTCAACTTGTTTCTCATATTCTTTGACTTATACTAATTGCATATATTGTATATTTGGATGCAGTTAAAAATAAATAAGCTTGTAGAGCAGCGTGAACAAGGAGAAATCAACATGACAGATGAAGAAATTTATGCAAAAGTTAAACCCAAAGGTAAAAATGATCGTGATCGTGGAAAGGGAGTAAGTCCGTCCATTACTTCCTTGTTTGGGTCGTTTAGTGAAGGAGAGAAATTTCGCAAAGAGGCTGAAGAGGCAAAGAAGGAAGCTAATGAGGCTAAAAAAGAAGCTCACGAAGCTAAGGCAAAAAATAAAATGCTCACTAAGGAGGTGAAAATTTTCAAAAAAGAAGTAAGAATTATGAAGGGTGTTATGGGGAAGTTTTTCAACCTTATGGGAGGCGATTTTTCAAAGTTATTTTTGAATGAGGTAATGCATTAGTTTATTTTCCATTATTTTTGGTTTATATTTTTTTAGTTACCGAAAATACTTGTCTACCGTTATTATATGTTATAGGTTGAAAAGGAGCATAAAAAAGTCCATGATGATGATAGTAGTGATGGTGATGGTGATGATGATGATGATGATGATGATGATAGTGATGATGATGACAATGATGATGATGATGATGATGATGATGGTGACGATGATGATTGTGATGATAGTGATGATGATGATGAGGAATGAACTTTCTTAAACATTTATTTTAGCTTGTAGACATACTTTGTCCCATCTTAATGTTTTTAGTAGTTGCTAAATTAACTCTAGCTAGCTAGTTTCTTTTTTTCTTAAGTTGTGGAGGTGCAGATGAGATTGAACAAATTAAACAATGTACTGGTGCAGTTACTCTTTAAGTAATTAATTTAAGCTAAATTTTGACTTTCTATATTATTCTACAAAGCAAGCATTTAATTAATTTATTGATGCATGTTATTAGCTATTAATTTATTTATATATTAATATATCTAAAGTACAACGAGCAATGTATGGTATATTAATATACGACAAAATGACAATGATATATTGCTGCCTCTAAAAACAATTCACAACAATACTAAAAGTTGTCTAGCAATATTATTTAAAGCACAATGTAATATAGCCTCTAAAAACTTTTTGAGTCATTAAATATGGTTGACTCTAATTGCATTATAAGACAACATAGCATGGTTGCCTCGAATGACATTTTGAGGTGAAATAATATGGTTGCCTCTAAATATGACTTTTTAGAAGCACGTCCTTTGTTGCCTCTAAAGGGGTTTTTTAGAGGCAAACACCATTTAGCGACCGATTTTTTGTTGGCAACCACTAAATTGCCTCCAAAAACCTTTAGAGGCTATTTTCTTATATTTAGAGGCAATTATGTAATGCCTCTACAAGCCAATTTTATTGTAGTGTATGTGGTTGTCCTTCTGGGCTGAGCCTCCATTACAAGAGCTAAGGGATTTGTGGTGTGATGATCCTCGGCACAGGCAACCTCGTTGACAAATTGCTTAAGATGTTCATAGAGAGTGCAGAGGTCAATTTCATCCAAGTCGATCCGAGATCTAACATCCTTCACAGTCTTTTCCCATGCAGGATGCAGGCTGGATCGAAATCTAATATTCAGTTCCAAGTTGGACCTGAATACTTTGATTTTTCTGAGTTCATTGATCAGTTGAACAAGTCTGTTGTAAGTCTCATTCAATGGTTCTCCTAGACCTGCTTTGAAGGAGTCATAAGCAATAAGAATTGTCGTCTTCTTTGTCTTAAGGCTAATGCTTGTGCCTTGAAGAAGTTTCTCTATTTCATCCCACATTTCCTTAGCTGTTTGCATGCTGTCAATGAGAACGTATACTTCATTGGGGATTGCTTGAAGAAGGTATGTTTTGGCCATGAGATCACCACGAAGCCTGAGCCTGTCAGCTTCCGTGTATTCAGATGCCACTTTCCTCCTTATTTCTGAAAGAATAGGAGGGTTGTTTTCTGGATCACCGCCAACTGAAATCAAGAGTTCAGCTTGTCCTTCAAGCAACGATTCAAGCATCGCAGCGGAGTTCTCTTTGTGCTCAAGGAAATTAAGGAATCTATTCCTCCACATTTGGTATTCTCCCTTCCTGAGACTAGGAGGGGTACTGCTGTTCCCTTGCGCATTGAATTCTGAGGCTATTGCTGTATTAAACTGACCGTTCGAGATAATTGATCAAAAGATTTTCAGAGGCAGAAAGTCGAAAAATCAGATGTCGAGATCTGAATATCGAAATCTCAGATTTCGATAAAGGAGGCCCGATATCGAGATTTGAGCTCGAGATTAGAGATCTCGAGATTAAGGATCTCGAGATTTCAAATTTCGAGAAGAGGATCTCGAGATTTGAAATGTCGAGAAGTTAAAACTCAAAATCTTAATTCTGAGAAGTCAGATGTCGAGACCAGATGTCGAAACCTTAACTCGAAATCTTGATCTCGAAATCCTAGATGTCGAAATCCTCAATGTCGAAATCCTGCAAACTGTAAAAATCAGATAAGCAAAATCTGAAGGTAGTTTCCTGTAGAGTAGGATGTCGAGATCCTTAGGAAAAATTTTCAGCTCGAAAAACGTAGCAGAACCTGTGAAAAAACTAGATGTCGACAAGGCCTACTCGAGATATCTCAAGTACAGAATATGCGTAAAACGAAATCTGAAGTATACCCCTTGATCGCTTTGAAAACACGATTCTAAGGGTGTAACTTTTACAACTTTTGAACAAGAAACAAAATTACAGAGTGAAATATCGACAGTAAGAACAACGTAAAGAAAAACAGTCTTCTGCAGGCGTTCTTCTGATCTGCTCTCGATCGGCTCTGATACCAATTGATAGTCCCTGTTTCTGTAACAGCAATGAATAACGATCTAACAACGAAGATTAAACGTAAGGATGAACACAGATTGAATCAATGTAAAACCCTCTTTGATAGACCGTGAACTCGTACAACAGAAAGATATGCGCGTAAGGCTTTAGAGAATAAGTACGACGTTAACCTAATCCTAAACCCTCGGCTCCCTTTTTATAGGCGAGGTTTAGGTTAGGCGTACAAGGCTTTTAGCCTGGTTATATGGGCCTAACACTTGGCCCAAGTGCTATCTAATTCATGCACTAATTAAATACAAGGATTAATAATAAAGCTAATCTATGACAAACTTGATTCACAATTAAAATATCTCCAACACCGGTGATGGCAATTAACCTTTAATATTGTTCCTGACATCTATTTCACCTCAACACGCATACATAACTAATTCTTTCAGATCCTAGTGGATTCATTCATGGGTTGCCTATGCAAACTAGCATGGGTTTGAACTGTTCTACATCACTTAAAAGAAACAGGTCATTTAATATTTTTCGCTTATATCCGATGTTGTTAGACCCGGTGACTCATTTTTTTGAAAAGAAATGACTTAATTATTATTTATAAAGATAAACAAGAACAATTACAAACAACGGCTGTTGCATGCGACAGAGGATCTCGAGGATAGACAAGTTTGATAGCATGATGGAAGATAGTTGATGGGGGAGCGGTGACTGTAGCGCTTGTAAGTTACGTACGTGCTTTTTCTCTCCCTGTGAGAGTTTTTGTCCTCATGCATGTTACCTGGTCGGGAGAACTAGTCAGTTTCATCATGGGTTGCGTTAGTTGGAACTGAAGGAGCTTTAGTAACCTAACAACAATGCAGGTGGTGATGGATATTGTACGAGGCTATAGGTCGCAAATCTTTTTTCTTATTAAAACCTTGGCTGATCTAGAGAGAATTAAGGTAGTGCGGAAGGAGAATGGTTTCAAGCATGCATTTGTAGTGGGTTGCAGGGGCGTAGTTTGGGACTGGCTATGTTTTGGGGGAAAGAGGTGGAGTTACAATTTCAGTTTTTTCGCGGAACTGTATTGATATTACTATCACATCGGGTGTAAATAAAAACGTGTGGGATGTTACGGGTTTTTTTTGGATTCCCGAAACGAAATTGGAGAAGGGAGTCTTGGGCATTGCTTGGCTAGCTAGCTATCACAAACATCCGATTTGGCTAGGATGGTAAGTTGGGGATTTTAGTGATTTAATATCCGAGCATGAGAAGAAAGGAGGTTGCCCTCAACCTGCTTGGATGCTTAATGGGTTATGGGAGATAGTTTGGAGCATCATTTTGGCGGATACCCGTTTCAAGGCTATCAGTTTACATGGGAACAACACAAAAATATGAATGGATGGATTCAAGAAAAATTGAATAGTGAGTGCTTGTGTCACAAAGGTGGCAAGCATTATTTGAGGAGGCTTGGGCTACTTCCATTGAGGGGAGTAGGGAGTAGGGAAGTTGAGAAGGTGCATGGGCTTGTAGTATGGACCAAAGTTTTAAAGAGAACTTGTTTTTTTTAAGACTGGAAATTGAAAAATGGGGAAAACATCTTCGTAGAGAGGGTTTCAAAACATAATTGATGACTGCAAGCGGAAGATTTGATCGCTTAGGGGTAAAATTACTTCACGCTATATTAAATTCAACTTTTAGTTCTCTCATAGATCCATGTCACTTCAGATAGAACTCACATGTCTACGTCTCCCATCCAACACCAATAATTCTCTATATTAATTTCCCTTTTAGTACACTCATTCTCAAGTCTCAATAAATCATTTATCATAATGTAAAGATTTCCCTAAAGTATTTTGGAAACGAAATATTCACCTTCTTATATCTGTTGGTATATTTCATTCACGCCATCATACAATAGCTATTTATATCTATCTATTTAACTCACTAACCTAGCTAACAATTGATTATTTCTCATTTCATAAAACAATGAATTAAACATCTTTGACACTATATCTATTAGGAAATAGCATTAATATAAATCTTGTATATATGGAAGCATTCATATTATGTATTATTTCCTTCCTTTTGTATTAATGGCAAGGTCCATATTTGAGTATAGCATTCTTGTATAAATTAATGAATTGTTTACCACCCTAGTTACGGGTGATATTATTCACATGGTGCGAGTGTAGTTTACTCCTAACTATACCACCATTTTCTTCTCATTTCTTCCAAAATGGCTGACACTGGTGACTCCCTTCTCTATGCTACTCTCATCCATATGTTAACCCTAAAATAGTCCCCCACAAATTACCTCTTATGCAGGGGCGGATCCAGGATCGAGAGATGGAGTGGGCTAAGCAGAAGTAATTTTTTTTACTATACATACCAAATTTAGTCCAGGGTTGTTATCGAACAAAGATGTTTTTGAATTATATACTCAAGTTCGAGCTTGATTTCGAATCTAATTTAATGAATTGAGTTTAACAAGTTCCGAACTCGAACACGGAGTAGGTTTTGAGTTTGAATAATTATTCAAGCCGAGATCGAACATAGTGATGTTTCGATCCGAACACGAGCCTATCGTTCACATATAAATTATACTATTGTACATATCATAAAATTTAAACATTTTAGTGCAATTTTTATAAATTTATTAATGATTAATAAAAATTTGAATACTTATTGAATAATTTGAACATGAATCTATTAACGAGAATAGTCTAAACTTCTACATTCGAGCATGTCTATCGAGCATTGAAATCCAAATCTGAGATAGTTTGGA